CTAAACCCAAAAATATATGCACATAGATCTATTTCCCCATCGTCATATATAAATAAACCTTAGAATTTTGCTTGTTAAGCCACATAATTTTTTTAAGTGTCTTCCTTATGTACCCCATGGTATACAGTGTAGAAAACCCGCTTGCTGCCATTGAGTTGATTCCAACTCATGGTGACCCAATAGGACAGAGTAGCGCTGCCCCTGTGATTTCATTGCAGGAATAGAAACCTGCTGAGCAACTGATGGTTTTTAATGCTCACCTGTGGTTAGCAACCCAGTTTATAATCCACTACACAACCAGGCCTCCGTGTAAGATGTAGAACACACAAGGTAATATATCTGAAAGGAACTCTTGACCTCAAGATGTTTGCAGGGGATGTATTACTTAAAACTGAAAAAAAAAACACAAATCAACTGCCAGGGTAGCACTGCCCCTGTGAGTTTCTGAGACTGTAGCTCTCTATGCGAGTGGGTGTCTCATTCACATTGCTTCTGGCTGGCCATCAGCTCTGTATCACTGGTAGGAATGGGGCCCAGAGTACGAGGGATAACAGAAAGAGCTAAAAAAAAACACCTCACTGCCAGCAAGTCAATGTTGACTTATAGAGGCCTCCTGTGGGTTTTGGGGACTGTAACTGTTTATAGGAGTAGAAAGCCCAGTCTTTCTCCCAAGGAACCCTCCCGTGGTTTCAAACTGCTGGACTTGAAGATCGCAGCCTATGCCTTACCACTATGCTTCCAGGGCTGTCCATATTACTTAGGAGTAGGAAATAATCAAAAGAGCCAATAAGGTAAAACAAACAAAAAACAAAAGCTACATGTGCGTTTGTTGCTCTGTGTTGATGCCAACTATGGCGACCCCATGTGTTACAGAATAGGACTCTGGAGAGATTTCTTGGCTGTAATCTCTATGAAAGCAGATCTCCAGCCATTGTGTCTCTGGTTGGGTTTGAACCGCCAATCTTTAGTAGTCCTGTGTAAACTGTTTCCATTGCCTACGTCCACTGACATGAGTTGATTCCGACTCCTAACAACCCTATAAGGCCCAGGAGATCTGCCCCGGAGGGTTCCTGAGGTTGCCCATCTTTCCCTTAGCAGTCCATCTCTTAATCACTGTGCCACCAGAAAGCATCTAATCAAATATCAAATTATGCTTTGCAAGAGTGATACTGAAATTAAAAGGACTAATATTAATAATGAAAACTGCATTCCATTTGTTGAATAGAATGAAAGCAGGTTGGCAGGTTTAGTGTGCCAGTAGAGAATACTGAGGAGGCCTACTGACTTGAACTCAACT